AAATAATTATATTTCTACGGTAAAGGTCGAAAACGCACGACTGAGATTATCACAAAAGAGGTGACATTTTCTACGCCCATTTTATTCAAAACGCGAAATATCTCGTAAACTTAAAAGAGATAATTAAGATCTGATAAAGCGATGTATCCACGGACATTATACTCTATCGAATAGGATAGTTAAACGGAAATAAAGGAGATGAAAGTACACTGCATTCTTAGAAAAAGTATTGCAGAGGGGGTGCTGGATACTTTTTCGACGATTTTTGAAAATTCGCCATCTCTTAAACTAAAACCACAGCGAAAAAACAGCAAATTGCTGATTATGATTGTTGGAAAATTCTGTACATCCAGATAAAAATATAAAAAATAATTATATTTCCTACAGTAAAAAAGGTCGAAAAACGCGACTAAAAAGTTAGCACAAAAGTACATTTTTCAATTTTTTTCTCCATTTTTATTCAATCGCAATATCTCAATAAACTTAAAAAGAATAAATAGAATCTGATCGCAGCGTCTTGTTACGGACTACATTACTCTATCGAATAAGAGTTGTTAAAAGGGAAATTTTCATTCTTAAGAAAAATTGGGGGGTGCTTGATACTTTTCGACGATTTTGAAAAATTACTTATCACTTAAACTTAAAAAGCCACGCTTAACCAACAAGTACTGATTATGATAGATTGGAAAATTTTTGTATCCAGATAAAAATATAAAACAGTACATATTTCCTACAGTAAAGGACCGAAAAACGCGACTAAAGTTAACTGAAAGTGACATTTTCAATTTTTTCTCCATTTTATTCAATCGCAAAATATCTCGTAAACTAAAGAATAAATAGAGATCTGATCGCAGCGTCTTATTCTACGGACTATTCTCTATCGGGTAAGTTGTTAAAACGCGGAAATCTGGAGATAAAATTTTCATTCTTAGAAAAAAGTACTTAAGAGGGTGCTTAGTACTTTTTTTTCGACGATTTGCACGAAAATTCATATCACTTAAACTTAAAGCACAGCAACCAACAAATTGCTGATTACATGATAATTGGAAAAGTGCAATATCGAATAAAAATATAAAAATAATTATATTTCCACCACGGTAAAAGGTCGAAACGCGACTAAAAGTGCTTTAAAAGTGACATTTTCCAATTTTTGTCCATTTATTCCAAAACGCGAAATATCTCGTATTAAACTAAAGAATAGTATTAAGATCTGTTGATCACTGGCATCTTAATGTACGGACCAATCTCTATCCAGATACAATAGTTTGGAAATCTGAGAAATGAAATTTTCGTAGCAGAAAAATTGCCAGAGTTAGCGATACTTTTTCGACGATTTTTGAAAAATTCATCTTTTAAACTTAAAACACGGCAACCAACAAATTGCTGATTATGATGGAGTGGAAAAATTTTGTATCCGAATAAAAAATAAGTATATTTCCACAGCGAAAAGGTCGAAAAACGCGACTAAAAGTTACTTTAAAAAGGTGATTTTTCAATTTTGTCGGTACATTCCAAACGCGGAATAATATAAATAGCAAGCTAAAGAGAATGGTAAGATCTGATCGCAGCGTCTTAATGTACGGACAATCTTATCCGGAATACAATGGTTGAAAGGAAAATCTGAGAGATGAAATTTTTCATTCTTAAGAAAAAAATTGCCAAGGGGGTGCTGGATGCACGACGGGCCGCACGAAATTCATATCTCTTAAACTAAAAGCCACAGCAACCAACAAGTGCTGATTATGATTGATTGAAATTTCTGTATCGAACAAAAATATATAAAAACAATTATATTTCCTACAGTAAGGTCGAAAAAACGCGACTAAAGTGCTAAAAAGTGACATTTTCAATTTTTGCCCATTTATTCAAACGCGAATATCTCGTAAGCCAAAAGAAGATAGTAAGATCTGATCGCAGCGCGTGTCTTAATCCCACGGACTACATTACTCTATCCGAATAGGATAGTTAAAACGGAAATCTGGGAGATGAAATTTTCATTCTTGCAGAAAAAATTGCCAGAGGGGGTGCTGGATACTTTTCGACGATTTTCCGAAAATTCGCTTATCTCTTAAACTAAAAGCCACAGCAACCAACAAATTGCGATTATGATTGATTGGAAAATTCTATCAGATAAAAATATAAAAATAATTATATTTCTACAGTAAGGTCCGAAAAAAACGCGACTAAAAATGCTAAAAAATTGACATTTTCAATTTTTTCTCCATTTTATTCAATCGCAATATCTCGTAAACTAAAAGAGATAAATAGAGATCTGATCGCAGCGTCTTTATTCTACGGACTATTCTCTATCGAATAGGATTGTTAAAGGGAAATCTGGGAGATAAAATTTCATTCTTTAAGAAAAATTGCCAAGGGGTGCTTGATACTTTTTTCGACGATTTTTGAAAATTCATATCACTTAAACTAAAAGCCACAGCAACCAACAAATTGCTGATATGATAGATTGGAAAATTTTGTATCAGATAAAAATATAAAATAATTATATTTCCTACAGTAAAAGGTCGAAAACGCGACTAAAGTGCTAGAAAGTGACATTTTTCAATTTTTCCATTTTATTCAATCGCAAATATCTCGTAAACTAAAAGAGATAAATAGAATCTGATCGCAGCGTCTTTTATTCTACGAGGACTTCTATTCTCTATATCAGATAGGATTGTTAAAACGGAAATCTGGGAGATAAAATTTTCATTCTTAAGAAAAAAAAAGGAATTGCCAAGGGGAGATTACTTGATACTTTTTCGGCGATTTTGAAAATTCATATCACTTAAACTGAAAGCCACAGCAACCAACAAATTGCTGATTATGATAGATTTGGAAAATTCTGTATCAGATAAAAATATAAAATAATTATATTTCCTACAGTAAAGGTCGAAAAACGCGACTAAAAGTGCTAAAAGTGACATTTTTCAATTTTTGTCCATTTTATTCAAACGCGAATATCTCGTAAACTTAAAAAAGAGATAATTAAGATCTGATCGCAGCGTCTTAATGTACAACGGACCAATCTCTATCAGATACAATAGTTTAAAGAAATCTGAGAAATGAAATTTTCATGCTTAGAAAAAATTGCCAGAGTCTTGATACTTTTTCGGCGATTTTTGAAAAAATTCATGTCTTTTTAAACTAAAGCCACAGCAACTTCAACAAATTGCTGATTATGATAGATTGGAAAATTTTGTATCAGATAAAAATATAAAACAATTATATTTCCTACAGCGAAAGGTCAACGCGACTAAAAGTGCTAAAAGTAGCATTTTTCAATTTTTGCAATGCATTTTATTCAAGCATACGATATATAAATGAAACTAAAGAGATAATTAAGATCTGATCGCAGCGTGTAATGCTTACGGACAATCTATCGGATACAATAGTTGAAAGGAAAATCTGAGAGATAGAAATTTTCATTCTTAGAAAAATTGCCAAGGGTGCTTGATACTTTTTTTCGACGATTTTGAAAATTCAAAGCTCTTAAACTAAAAGCCACAGCAACCAACAAATTGCTGATTATGACAGATTGGAGAATTCTGTATCAGATAAAAATATAAAAATAATTATATTTCCTATAGTAAAGGTCGAAAAACGCAAGTAAAAGGAGGTGCTAAAAGTGACATTTTTCAATTTTGGCCCATTTTATTCAAACGCGAATATCGTAAACTAAAAGAGATAATTAGATCTGATCGCAGCGTCTTAATTTACGGACTATTCTCTATCAGATAGGATAGTTAAAATGGAAATCTGAGAGATGAAATTTTCATTCTTAAGAAAAATTGGTAATTTGATAATTGATCATTTTCATCAACGATTTTTCGACAGCGAAGCATCATACAAACTATAACAGAATGATAGCAATCAGAAAATTATTGATTACGGAAGAATGGAAAAATCTCAATCAGATGGAAATTTAAAATAATTTAATTTAATGGGGCGAGTATTCGAAAAACGCGACTGAAAGTGCTAAAAATTAAAATTTATAAAATGTTGACGATTTATTTTAATTGCGAATATCTCGTAAACTAAAATCTTGTGTCTTTGCACCACGCGGTGGAACGCAATAAAAAAAACAACGTAAGTATAAACTAATGTACGACGCAGAAATTATAATGAAAAATATAATTGAATTATAAACTTACCAATGCAGAACTCATCGGACTGCAAGGCATGGCAAATACTGTAAATAAAAAAAAGAATAGGTAATATTTAGTAGTAACAACCAAACAATCTGTCCGGTTTAGAAAGTTACGTACATCAGCACGATGGGTCATTCTAATGATGAAGAAATCAACATGGAGCAATATATAAATTTGATTCACATAGCAATTCGACACCTCGTGAGTTGCAATATACACTTTCAGCCCGATCAAAACCGGCCGGACAATAAATGCACCAAGAGTAAATAGCATTACTATAGTTGTAAAAATTGAATAGTCGAATGATGATCGAATTTAATGCGAATTTGGAAAGCAGGAGTCGAACAAACAACACGAGTCGCGTAAAATATGTCTGGATCGACCTGAGACCGACACGAAACTAACTGCAAAGTGAGCAAGCAACGACGCGACAGTTTATGATAAGAAAGCAAGAGGTGCGCAAAGCCAGTGCGTCGATAGCACGCGACCTTCAGCGCGAATCGCATGTAACACGTTACCTGCGACCAAAACTAAACTAAGATGCGCCAACATGCGGCGTAAGGGGATGGTAACGAACGACACTCGCTCGTGAATCTCATGCGTTGCATTCCACGCGGCGAATGCGATAAGAAAGTGTAAGTTGTGTTCGAAACAAACACAATTCTCGCCCAGATTGCCCACGTTTGCCGATAAATATAGAAATAAACAATACAATTCTATTTTATGATTTTTAGTTCATGTTAGTGACATCTATGAATGATATAAATAAGAATTTAAAGTAAAATTTAAATTTACATTATAATCTATTAAAGTGGTGTTTTTGTAATTGTTTTGTAATAATCAACATGTCAATACATACAATATTTGGAGTTTATTTAAATTTAAAATTATATTGTATAACAAGTTCATACTGTTTATTGTATCTTAGAAAACAGATCATGGAGGACTCGAGCTGCAGCGCACAGTTTTTCATCTCGCTATAAATACATAAAAATCATTAATACAGACTTACTGCAATTTGTTCAAAATTTCTTTTACCTTGATAAAACAAAAACGAATTAAATTCTCTGCCACTAGCTTGTTCTCGGTGCTATAAAATGCAGAAGCAGGAAAACCCATCAAACCATTCCTAGCCAGCCACTTCGTCAATCGTATATCTTTGTAATTTCCTGTCTCCTTTGATAAATCAATGTTTGTACCTACGGATTATTTATGCTGTTAATTCGCAGTTTTAAAGTATAATTTCCACTCCTTACTTTGGTTTCGAAAATCGGCAATTATCATATATCCACCCTGTGGTTGAATCGGATTTACACCAGCATCAGCAAACGCTTTCATTAAAAACTCTCGTTTCGTGAATAACTCTTCGGATAAAGTGTAAAAGAAGCACTGCTTTGGGTTATTTATCATCAAATCAAATTCTTTCTCAAATGCCATAGCGATAGCCTCTTGTATGGGTGTCAAATGTGTGTAAATACAATTTTGGTGCACTACTTTAAGATTATTCATCAAGCCCGCCGGTCCATAAGCCCATCCAGTTCGCCAACCGGTAATGTTGAACGTTTTGCCTGCTGAACCAACGGTAATTGTTCTCTCCCACATACCTGGCAGAGTAGCTATTAAATTTAAAACATAGTTTAAACATTTTCAATTAATAAAATATAAATTACCCATCCTTATGTGTTGATATGGTTTATAAACCAACCATTCATACACTTCATCAGCGATAGGGAGCGTAGGGTAATGGGAGTCAGCGGGTAATGGGAGTCACCCATATATCCACGAAACAATAGTTACGAGTACCGCGTAAACGGTGTTCCTACCTCCGTTCTGGCCCCAGTGCCACCCCAAAAATCATGCAAATCGGTGCGTGTATCATTGAGATACGCCAATATTTTATTTTTGAGCTCCGCTGATCTAATTTTACGTCCACGCAAATTAGAAGATAAGTGTGGAATATCTTGCAATATTCGAATGAAACTTTTATATAGTCTTAGTTAAACATTCAAAATCGTGATGTGCAGTTCAGATTACATTAATGTTTTGAAGAAATATTTTTTTTTTAACAATAGTGCAATTGTGGGCAATGGGAGTCATGCGACTCCCAATGGACGTTTTGTCTTTAGTCCGCTCTAAATGGCCTATAAAAGCAATGTGACTTATTTTTCAATAGCCTTCATGCAGAAACGATACTGCAGGAAAGTAACAAAACTTATGATTCCTATATTGGCACTGATGACTTATGCCAGGGCGATGGATGAAGATTTGGAAAACTGATGTCTAATGTGCAACGATTAAAAAAAAAACAATTAAATGTGGTTCATAGCACTTCATTTGGGCTATGGGCTCATGTGAAATGCACTGGGTGGGACTTTGCAGAATATTATGTTTGCGATATCTGCTAGATTTCGTTTGATTCCGATTGTCCCCAGGGTGACCACCATTACCCGCATGTCGGTGTAATGGGAGTCAAATCTGTTTTTTTTTTAAACTTGAATAATATCCAAAATTGATTGTCAAAGTGACTGAAAATTATTTCAAATAAAAGGTATTTAAGTAAACAATGCTTATAAGCGATTGCAATAAGTATTTTGCTTATAATTTAAATTATATTTGAGTTCTCCCTTAAGTGACCCCCATTACCCTCTTTTACCCTACATAACACATTCCATTTTTGCATAAATCCGCAATCATTTGCATTTCCTCCATGTTGAAAACTTTCCCAAGTGGATTATTAGGTGTATTTAGAAGGATTGCTTTAGTTTTTGAGTTGAACTTACTTTCCAATTCCTTTTTGTCTAAGAGAAAATCATTAGTAGTCAATGCACCACCAGTATTACTACCATTATGTCTCAGTGGAATAAAAATAGGTTTGGCCCCAGTTTCTCTGATCATAGGCTCATAAGGCTCAAAGAATGGCTCAATAACAATCACTTCATCATCATCATCAAGCATTCCATTAAAAATATTGTACAGAGCCTGCTGAGCACCTTGTGATATAAGCATTTCAGTGTCAGGATTGATTTCTCTGTTTATCAGTTTTGAGTAAAGTTTTGAGAGGATATTAACCAATCTGGGATGACCCTACATACATTTAGTATTTAGTATTCCTTTAAAATTTCATGGACATTAAATAAAATAATAAAAAAATATGAATAAATTATTGCTTTTTAGAGGCATAATATAAGTACATACAAATTAAATGTGCATGTAAACTTACAAATCCTTTGGTGTATTGATGAAGCAATAAATTATCGCTTCGAGCTACACCTGCTAATCCTTCAGTTACATGTTTCGGTGGTGCAAAATCCGCAAATCCAACTCCTAAGTTAATTGGATTATATTTCGTATATTCATCCATTTCTAACCTAAACATCCAATTTAAGTCATTTTTCTGCCCAAAAGTAACAGTAAACTGCATAATCTTACCAAATATTTGGGCCTGGAATTCCAAATCGGGCAGGAAGCTTGAATTTTGTGCAAATTTCACTCATTTTGGACGTTAAAACTGCTTTCATTTAAACAATACAAGCAGATGCCCATGAACATGTACTTATATATGACTTAAACTCTAAATACATAACACATCTACTATCTTATCTAAAGTTCAAGCATTTGGTCATGCTTTTATTCTGTTTTCATGTCTACAAACATTTAATCACAGCTATTAAAGTTTCCTAAGGTATTATAAAGTAACAAAAATATCTTTATGTTGTAGATAGTATAGGTACCCTTTTCGAATTTATGATTGTTTCATTTTCTTTAAAATTTCAGCTGCTTGCTTGAGTTTTTTATCCTCCTATAACAAAAAATATATATTTTTAAATGAAATGGATTTAGAGCAACGATACGCACCTTTATGAAACAATAACGAATGTATTTCTCTGCCAATTCTTTATGTGCGCTATAAAAAGCTGTCGGGGGTATTCCCAACAACCCCACATTTTTCGCCATCCATTTCGCCATGCGGTAATCCTTGAATTTGTCTTTTTCCGTCGACAAATCCATTTGGCTTTCTAAAATTAATCAAAATCATTAATTTTCATGAAAATAATCTTAAAGTAAGTAGTTTTTACCTATAGGAGACCAATCAGCAAGAATAAAATAGCCTCCTTCTGGACACACTGGTTTCATACCACTTTCCGCTAGGAATTTGCACATAAAATCGCGTTTGGGTGTCAATTCATCCACAATTGTGTAGAAGAAACAATTCTCAGGATCATTATCCATCCGATCAATTTCCTTTTCAAAACCTAACGCAATGGCCTCTTGAATTGGCGTGGAATGTACGTACACCACATTTTGATGCACAACCCGCATGTTTTCTAGAATATTAGACGGCCCATATGCCCATCCGGTTTTCCAGCCTGTCACGCTGAAAGTTTTACCTGCTGAACCAATTGTAATAGTTCTTTCCCACATGTCCGGCAGTGTGGCTAAAACATTTTCAACTTTATAGCCAACAATAACAATAAAATAACATTGTTTCTAACCCATTCTAATGTGGCATTTTGGTTTATAAACCATCCACTCATAAACTTCATCAGATATACAAATAACATTCCACTTTTTGCATAAATTCGCAATCATCTCCAATTCCTCATAGCTGAACACCTTTCCAAATGGATTATTTGGTGTATTCACAATTATCAGCTTAGTTTTATCATTAAACAGACCTTCCAACTCATCTGGGTCCAAACAAAAGTCAGATGATGTAATCATACCTTCTGGTTCAGATAGCTACAAAATGTTCATTGATAATAAACTTTAAACAATAAAAGATTAATTTTATACCATTCTAAGTGGAATAAATCTTGAATGCCACCAGCTGCTCGAACCATTGGTTCATAGCAATCAAAAAGGGTTCAATGATGATAACTTCATCACCTTTACTCACATGACCATTGATAGCTGTAAACAGAGCCTCATAGGCACCAATTGTGATCAGAACATTGGTGAGTGGATCCAATTCTCTGTTGAGCAACTTGGAGTATAGTTTTGCTAAGGCATTGACTAACCTTGGATGCCCCTGATGAACAATACATTAATAGTAAGTAAAAGTGAGTTAATTGTTTATAAACATACATATCCTCTGGTATATTGATTCAACAAGTGATTATCACTGCAAGCCACTGACTGCAAGGCTTCTGTGACATATTTTGGTGGTGGATAATCTGGAAATCCTTGGCCCAGGTTCAATGCCTTGGTCTTGGCTGCCACCTCAATGAACTCAACCCTTGAAAACACCTGTTATGACCTGCTATATATTACAAATCTCTACAATATTTACCACACACTCTTTTCGCCTTTGCCATATCGTTTTGGCAGCTGGAATTTCTCTTCCATGGCACAGGCAGCTTCAGCGGCACAGGCGTCAGACATGGCACGTTTTCCTCCTCGTCGTATAGCAGCGGATGTTAGTTTTAATATGGAACTGATTAAACGCGTAGAAAGCATCTAATTTAAAATATAATGGTTATTAGTTTCTCTGGCTTACATCACTCTCACGCTGGCAGCGCATGCAGTTGACAATAAAGTTAGGGCTGGAAGGGGTACTTTAGTACTTACCGTAATTTTGTATTCGTTTATTGAAGATAAAAGAGATAAAAGTATTTAGAACGTCACTGTCCTACTATCTATATCTACGTCTAGAACTAAAATTTAATTTATTATGCTGTGATGATGTAGATGACCTCGATGTTATTTGAAAATATATAGACTGGAATTTTGCGATTTTGACGAAAACGTGATATTCAAAAAAGATGACAACTAGAATTTAAACAAAATGTTGGAATAATAAACGTTACGTAACTATGGCAACAAGATTCCTGTAATTTTTAAACTTTGTTTTTAACAAAAGTATGAAAATGTTAGATGGATATTTGTGTTTACTATAGGCAATCATACGAACATTTTCGTGTTCATATCAACGTATGAACTGAAATGATCTAATGCTTCAGTGGCTGCATCGAGGAAATAATTAGCCCTAAATGCACCCCCAAATGATGAACAGCTTTCTCATTTGTCCTATTTGTGATCCTTCTTCCTGTTCACGCACGCGTGAATCAGGCAACCAGTGAAATCGCGCGCATTATCTATCACTATCTGTACCTTATTTTGAAAAATGATTGTCAAACATTCTGTATTGCGCCCAAAGTACAAATAGTGAATGCCTGTACTTCTGCACCTGTTGCACGCAGAGTTTTACAGTGTAAAGAAAAGTTTACATCATTTAACAATTTAACAAATGTGTCAATTGATTTCGTTTGTTAAAGAACTAAAATCCTGCATTTTCAAACAAGAAAAAAGAAGATTTTAAACTCCAGTTAAAGTTTCTCGCTAAAATGAATCAACAAAACGTTTGTTTCCATACGTGCGACTGCCTGTATTCAAGCGTACCCTTCATTTTCCTTCCACTAAAAAATAATGTGCAAATGGTAATTGATACGGGTGCAACTAAGTGCTTCATAAACCATAAAACAGTGAAAGAACAATTTGATGAAGAACTAGCGTTCGAACTTGAAGACTTTGTAGTGATAACGCCACATGGTGAATCCAAACATAATCAAAAGTTGAATGTGCGTTTAAATTGTTTCGAAAATATATTTCACAGTTTTTACGTGTTTGACATATCAACGGAATTTGCTGGTGTGATTGGAATTGATTTACTGCGGCGGCTGAATGCAAAAATTGACTTGGCTAATGAAGTATTAATCACAGATAAAGGAAATCAAAGAATATATTTTAAAGACTCTGAAACACTGATCTAGATGTTGATTTAGAGCCAAAAAATCATATATATGATCGCTGCCATTGTCCAACGATTTTTCAAGATGTCCAAAGATAATTGTAATGTTAATATGATCAATAAAATACTAATATGTATGTACAAGTAAAAAAATATCGCGTTGATATTTGAATGCTGTAATAATCACTCTTGAAATCAGATCGCTCGACAGTTTTGCGCACAAATGCGTTTCAACACACGCAGAATTTGACATTTTCACAGAAGTACAAACTGCATGGCCGCGACAAGGTGGTAATTATTCAATTAGGTCAATTTACATCCGACACCGCATATTAACGCAAAAACAAAACAACACACATGCACAAATGCATTAATTTATTAACAAAGCAACCGAATCGATTCGCAATTTCGCGAGTTTCACACAATCGAAGGAAAACCGAGCGAAATCTTGCGGAGAAGGAATAATGAAAGTAAAATCTTCCAGTATATGTATATTACTTTACATGACAATCATTTACGCGCCAGAAAATCATCAAGCTTGATCATCTCTTCCAAGGCATAAATATTCACACTCAATCACAATTATGACCAAACAAAACCGATAATAACGTGCTTAATACAAAAATGTAGCGTAGAATTATCATCATCATCATCGAAAGCAAGTGTATCGTTTCGTTTGACTTTCGTTTCCGTTCGAATGTAATCATAAATTAAAATAAATAACGTTCGAAATCCTGCTTGGAGTGTGGCAATCGTTAAAATAATATCCGATACTCGACGAATATCGGCATAGACCGTACGGAATCGCACTTTATTTGTTTGTTTCGATTCGTTTCAACGACGAGAACGTTCGTTTGCCTGCTTAAATGGTCGTGCCGGGCGAATAAAAGAGGAAATTGTTGGCCGGCCCGAAATTGACTGGGGTTTTGGGGCTGGCGCACGCATAGTAGAACTCGTCCGACTGCAGCTGCGTGCGATTGAGATTCGGCTCGGACGTGGACCGATGGATCTTCGGCAGGCAGCGCAGCTGCTCCTCCAGCGAGGCGCGTATCTCACTGAATTGCGGCCGTTCGTCGCGCACAAACCGAATACATCTCTCTAACAGTAAGCGCAGTCCTTTCGTCGCATCCTTACGCAACTTTTTCAAATCCGGCGAGACATAACCGCGACCAACCATGTACAGAATCTGATCCTTGTTGTTGATGTGTCCATAGGGCAGTTGCATAGCGAGCATTTCGAACAGCACAATGCCGAAAGCGTAAACGTCCGACTGAAAACTATACGGATTGTCTTCCTGCATCCGAATTACTTCAGGCGCCATCCAAAGAATCGAACCTGTGGGTTGATGAAACTGTTGACTACCCGACCAACGCGTCTTCGCCGTCGCCAGTCCAAAATCACCGATTTTCACCGTCAGATCATCGTGCAGAAAGATATTATTCGATTTCAAATCGCGGTGAATGATGTTTTTCGCATGCAGGTAATCCATACCCTGCGCTGTCTGCCGGCTGATCTCAATGAGCGTCAACAGTTCAAACTTGGACTCGAAAATATGCAGATGCTTGTACAGACTGGAGCTGTCGCACCATTGTGTAACAATCGCTAAGGTCGGCTTGGAAACACAGCCCATAAAGAGTAGGATATTGACGTGCCGCGTCTTCCGCAGCACAGCCACCTCGTTTTTGAACGCTTGTAGCTGCGCAATCGTCGGGATTTTCACGCGGAGAGTTTTTACAGCCACCGGGCCATGCCAGCGCGCTTTGTAGACAGTACCAAAACTACCAGAACCCACACGTCCGCCGACGATTATCTCATCGGCGGGTATCTCCCAGTCTTCGATGCTCTCACGTGGCGCAAGTAGAGGTTTGCTCTCGTCCGCTGAACGCGCACGTGGCCTACGCGGCAGCACCGAGCTCGTTGGCGATGGTTGTGTGCTTATAAATAACTGTGCATGCTCATCGTCGGGCAAACCACCGCGATTCAGTGATAGTGAACGTGGACAATCATCTCCGGAGGTTTTTACGCTATTTATACACACATTGGGCGCCGAATTCGAACGATCTTGATGTCCTAGTGTTCCTGTTCTACACGCGGTTGGATGTCCGCCTAACTCGAGGCCTGCTTGGCCCGGATGTAAGATTCCCGCTGATGTTTCAGCAGGGCGCGCTAGTAGTGCTCTGTAGTAGTCATCAGCTCGCCTCACCTGCAAAGTAATACATTAAATATGTGGTGAAATGTTTTGTTTTAGTCACTTACATGATGGCACAATGAAGGAACACCATTGGCACATCTCTGATGAAATTTGTAGCCACACGTACGACATTGGAACCCTTGAAACAACAGCCGCTTGCAGGACTCGCAGAATACCAGCGAGAAAAACGTTTTCCGCACGAAATTATGCGAAATACTAATCGGTATCGGAAACTTGTCCAATATTTTCACCGTGATTTCATCACACTCGATCGTGCTGATGTCTACATCCCAGTTGATGATCTCCTCGGTGTCGCCCGCATACACGCATACGCACATCTCGTAGTAGAGATTGCGTAGTTTCATGGCTTTGGCGAGCGCCTCCCGGAGCGTCTGGCCCTCGCGCACCGGCACGCTGCTGCGCTGTTGATTGGGCAGGTGCGCTCGCAGGAACTTAGGCCTGGTGAGCGTGTCGGTGTGTCCTCCGCGCCGTTGCGGTGCCGCCGGCTGCTGCTCCTCGTCGGCGCCGTTGACGCGCTCCAGCAGTGTCTGTTTCTGCGCCTCCAGCTCGTGCAGCTTCATGGTGAGGTCGTCGTACTCTTTGAGGTACATCGCCGGCGGCTGCTGGAAGTCGACGAAGCGCGCGTTCAGGTCGTCGACGTTGCGCCGCGTCAGATTGATGACGCTCTCGATGTTGCGCAGCTCCTGGTGGATGTCCATCTCGTCGCTCTCCGTGGACATTATCGTGCGAGGGCCGCCGACCACCGGGCGCGCGTCGGGGTATAAAAAAACGGGGGGCAGCAGCAGCACGGCCGTTATTTGTATGCACTCATCATTCCCGCGGTCGGCGCGGCTTGCATTGCACTTTCGCGTGTGTGCACATATCTTGTGTCTATCACGGCCTATCACTTCTATCACTTCTATCGCCAACTACCATCTGTCAAGTCGTTTAGCGATTGTTTCGTTCACTCCGTACACTCGCTAGTCGACAGTTGTTTCTTTTTACAACTCATTTGCACAGGCGCATTGCGCTAGGCAACCAAATATGCACCCAGCATCCAAAATAAATACAAAATAGATTATTAAATTATATTCAAATATTAATTAAAACCAGATGATTTTGTATATTAATCTATATGGAATCATTTAATTTTTCAGTTTTTGTTTTGTTTAATTCTTGTCTATTTGTAATTTATTACCATACGTTTATTGGACATCTGGTCTTCAACGTGCTTTCCAAAGCTTTAAATTTGTAACCGCTTCGAATTTCCCTGGCCAACTAAAATGTTTACAGCATCACAGTGCCATAAAAAAACATGAAGATTGTATTCGTATTGTATTGTTGAGAGTAGCATGGCAGTGCTTCGTAATCTCACCACTTCCTGAAAGACGGCAGTTTCTGCTGACTTAACAGCGCCCACATACAGACGAAAAGTTTAAGTTCTCATACATGCCCGGTGCGTTCTTTGGTTCTAACCTACAACATTGTTTTAAAAATGTTGTTTCTTGGTTGTCCAACAAACAAATCGTGAGCTATGTCAACTTGAAGTGCATATATCATTTGTTCACAATTATCACATAATTTTGAAATAATTAAACCGATGAACGGTAATACAACGTAGGTAATTGTAATTACCTATGTTTTTAGCTCCTCGTAAACTTGACTCTAGAGGAAATGGATAAAAAGTTTCCTCAAAGCAAACGTAGTTTAAAACGCACTGGCAGTGACAGTGGAATATCCAATGATTCCATGGATTCACAAGCCAAACTGGTAACTGGTAAGTTTAAAACGAATAACATAATCTTTTGTTTCATTATAATATTATCTTGCAATTTTCAGCCACCCAAGGGGCCAAAAGAGTGTGTAAACCCTTCACATTTAAAATTACAGTTACCGAGGACAAAACTAGAATTGTAAATGGCAAAGAACTGATTGTTCCACAAGCCTCACCATGTGTGAATGAAAATGAAGATCTATCAGTTGATTCAGATCAAGTTATGACAAATAATCATGAAGATTATGACTATCTTGATGATGTATCAGATCACTCACTGGATAGTATTTTAAATACACCATGTTTTTCACCAAATCCGGAGAGTGTTGCTAGTTTTGATGATACTGTGGATGATTTTTGTAGCTATTGGGAAAGGGATGAAATTGACATATGTGTAATAACTTCCATGAATAAGTGTTTTGAAGGAGCTGTCTTGCATAAAGAGTACATTACTAAAATGTATTTGCCCGGATATTCACCCATTCAAAAGATGCCAGATATTCCATATGTGCCTAAACCCCTAGATGATGATCTCATATCTCTACATCCAAAGTAAGTAATTTTATTAGTTGTTTTTTTTTTATCAATGTTTCTGACAATTCACTTGTTATAGTGAGTCTTTTGGGCTAGACTCCAATAAAAACTTGAAGGTCACACCGCTAAAGAAAAAAGTCCGTCTCAGTAATCATTTGCAATTGTTACCTACGCAAAATTCGCATGAAAATCAAGTAAATACTCAAAAACCGATATCGACTCGGATTAATACTAATACCAACTCCACTGTGAATAAATCGGCAGCTATCTCAAAAGTCATTCCTACAGCTCAGACGAATCACGATAAAGTTGCCATGAAAACTTGCAATGAAACCAAAGAAAATAATCTCCAGCTATCGAGATTGCCTGATACATCTCAGCACTTCACTCAGCCTGTAGAAATACCTCAAAATATACCTTCACTACTTGATATTACGTTTAAAGCTCCCAGCTTAAAAGAGCGGAAACTAAAACTATTGAATTTACCACTTCGTATTTGCCGTGACTTTGAACGTTGCGGAAATATGAATAGTTGTACTTTTATCCATCAACTTAATTCGAATATGTTCCACGGCTCGTACGCGGCGCAACAACAACTGTGGAAAATCATGAAGTGTAAATTTTATCCAGGCAAACTAAATGTTATCAAAGCAGTACTGGAACAGTTTCCTGCAGCGTTGGCAAGTGCCGGAAATCGCGATGTGTTGATGTTATTGATTCAGGATGCTCTGACTTTTGAAGGTCTTGTTTTTGAGCGAGAAAAAATCGTTAAGGAAATCATCAATGCATTGCTGCAAGTGAAAGTGGGCGATGAATATTTAAACTACGAGACCGTTATTGATGAGATCCTCAAGTACAATAACTGCTTTCAGAAGGAACAAGGACGTCAAGCAAAGACTCTTTGTGATATAATATTAAGTATAACAGTGGAACGTGAGAATTTTTTACAGTATTGGCCACTTTTAGAGAAGATGTTCGGGTTTTTTGAAGGAAAACTTGATTTTGAAGTGGTTAATAAAATCATCAGTGCTTGCATGAATGATGACGTCTCATACGAGTTGGTTGACAATGTGTACAAGAAACTGTTGAAAACTGACTTGGTTGATCAGGAGCAGTTACCCGCATCGCTTTTGTTAATGTTCGTTGAGACGATGCGTGTGAAAGCCGAGGAAAAAATCGCCAAAGCGGAATCACCTGTAAAACAAGTAAATATCAATGAAATGATGTTAAGAGACCTATTTACGCAATGCACCAATGCTGAAGAACTCAGTAATTTCTTACATGATCACTGCAGAGATGAAGATTTCCAGGCGATGAGTATTCGAACAGTTGACGATATTTTGAAGAAAGAATTATCAATGAAAAACAATATAAACGTACATATGATGTTTTTTAAAGATTCTGTGTGTAATAGTATGCTTGGTGAAGTCAGTGTTGAGCTGCGCCGGCTTTTGATGGTGCTTGCTCTTCACTTGGTGACTTTCATGAGACAACATCAATATAATAACGATTTTTCCTATGGAATTTCTGCTGATTTGTTAGGTCTTTTCGAGGAGCACTTTGAAGAATTGCATTGCACTCAGGTGAGTTGTAGAAATATATGTAATTTTATTGCAACTTATGCAACTTGTGTTCTTGGTACAGGTTTACTTTCCTGACTACGAGGACGATTGTCTAAGGAGTGTTTTGATATTTTCCCGACTCATTCACGGCAAAAATTTTCCTCTGGCTTTACGATGGATAAAAACGAAAGGATTTGTTATTCCCAGCGAGGACATGAAGTTAGCGTTCAGTTGGTTCTTCACCAACTTGCGGCAACTTTTTAATGGAATGTACGCATCGGGAAATTTCGATGAATGCAAAAATCTAATTGTTTTATTGATGAATCATGGTTTTGACGTGGAGGGTCAAAGTAAGTGCCTTTTCGTATAGTTTTTATTTACTTTATTTTACTTGTGTGACTTATATTAGAGGTAAAACACAACTGGAGTATGTTCGATTATTATCGGACTTTTATCAAGCAGAAAATCTTGCCATGGCGGAACAACGAAAGAGATCTGATTGCCGACGCGCATGAATCTATATTTAAATTTTATAAGCATATTGAGTTGAGCGACTTGAGAAATATATTAGTATTGTTGTATCTGAAAGAGAATTGGAGTCTGCTGCCCAAATCGGCGGAAATTCTCCACTTTTGTCAGGATTTTTACAAACAAAATGAGGTAAGAAGCACAATTTATACCTAAGCGTCAATACATGTGTTAAATGTTTGTAGGAAACTATTTTTTACAATGCGCATTTGTCAATAACTGAAATTCAGCTGGTTACGCACATTTTCTTCTATAAAATGCTCAGGCGTAATCAATGTGCTATGCCCATAACAGCAGAGTACGGAGAGTTGCCAAACGGGGATGTTCCCAACGTGCCATTTGTGAAAACCAGCGGGGTGTGGGACACTGAAAGATCGCTGGCGAAGCGCGTTAACTACGCACTGATCAAATTCACACCGGGTTCAATCTCGAAATTCAACGGCACTTTTCAGGTTGATTATGTGAAACACTTACTGGAACAGATTCGTCGACGTGTGCACCCTCTCTGAGGCACAAATAATGCTAAAGAATTTCACATATTGTTCATTTTAAGTTTAAGTTATCTTATATTTGATATGAAATATATTTTGCGTTACATTTTTATAAATTCTAACAAATTCATAGCTTAAAAAACAAGACAAATGCTAGAAAATCGTGCAGTAAGGCATTCTCTTGGTGAATATTTGCTAGTTTTAAATTGGTTTCATTAATCGAATTCAGGAATGTCATCGAATGAATACCCCGGCACTTCCTTGTATGCATAGTAAGCGATTCTCACGTGATAAGCACCGGGAATAAACATCAACACGCCAAGAATGATTATTGGCCACATGCGGTCTGAATACTTTACGTCAATGTGTCCACTGACGACGAGACTCCCGACAACCAGGAGGGTTGTTCCGACTATCATGAGAACACCCGCAAACACAATCGCTTTCCATGGCACTTTGTCGGGGGGTTGAAGGAACTGCGCGTCGACGAAGCCGCTGTCCGTGCCAGCTAGCTGTGTGTAGTCGACATTGTCGTATTCTTTGGCACGGCGACGAGACATCTTGATGTCGTCCAAATATTCTAAAATTTACAGACAGTTACAGACAATCCCTTGTGTGCTAATCTACACTACCTGACTAGAATATGATATGTAATGCGAAAATTTACCTTTCATATCAGATTTACATTACATTCAGGAATTAAATTAAGTATCACAAATCAGTTTTCTTTGTATTAATAAATTAAACTTTATAACAGCATTCACAATGTATAAACAGATGTATGGGAAGATAGTATGTATGTGTTACAGCTGTGAAAATGGGCTGTTTATACACGCGGACCAAGCAAATCGATATTTTACTTCGGAAAAGAAACACTTTGCAAGTGTCGCGAAGCAAACAAACAAATTGCGCCTCGGGACGTTTTCACGAATCAGTTTTGCCGTTGCAGAGTTTGCGGGGAGAGGATTTTACTGCATATTTATGAAATTTACGAGTCTAATTCAAAATAGCTGGTTTATTCGCCGATTTTATTGAATTCATTTGAGAAAACAACATTTCAAGCAGGTTATGTAAAGTTTACTGAGTTCTTACACCGTCAATTTGTAATTTGTTGTTAGGGAAGGATTTGATATCCAAAACAAAGCAAAACTAAACTTTCAAATTTAGTATTCTGATGCATAAGTTCAATATCTAGTGCAGTTTATGTTTTTGCTGCGGATTTATTCATAGTTTTTGAATAGAATGCATATGTCTATTTCCTTTAAAGGCGTTTGAGGATTTTATTTAAGTTTGAAAGTTTTAAAAGCAAATTTCTTAAAAACTAAAATGTAGCTCCTAATGAAGGCTTCAGACCTTTTATTCTTAAAGGTTTTCTATCTCAGACCAATGTATTGCAGGAAGCATACATTTATAAATTGAAAAGCTCAAAAAGGACTCGTATTTTGCTTTTTTATTTTGACAGGACCAAATTTGATATTTAAAATTCATTATCCTGTAGTTCCGAGTTTCTCAAGAATATATACTTTGTAATTTTGTTAATTTGTAAGCACTATTAACACTGCAACTTCTTCAATTCACCTTTAAAACATGCAAACATGCATAGTTCAGAAGACATATTCTACTCAACTACTGAAAGTCTAAAACAGAAAATAATAATAAATTTACAATGAGAATGCAGCAAAATGTTATAAACGGTTCTTACCTTTAATATTCACTAATATAGTCATACTTCTTCAGTTAGCACGTGTATTACACATACTATTATAAACCGTTTGCACTTTCAACTTTACTTTTCAACGCTCGCGCTCATTTAACGTCTCACTTACCCGTAGTATTCGCGCGGAGGGGGCGATCGCGCTAAATGGCAAAAGCGAAAGGTGATGCAAAAGGGGTTGCGGCGACGATGAAATCGATCGCACTTTATCCTTCTGCAAAACGTCGTACTTCCTGCCAACCCACAGGGCCACACTAGTTTTGTTCCAGGAATACGACAGGCAGGTTTGGCTGCCGCGGCACGACTGTGCATTCTGTCCTATGTTTTGGGAACGGTTAGTAGGGAGGAAGAGTAAAAGAGTGCGATCATTAAAAATGCACGTTGGCGGAATGTGAAATGCCACCTGGTCGCGATGAGCCACAATCGATGGAGTAAACAAATCATTTGTATTGTTTAACAATAACAAATAAAAACAAAAACAAATGATTTACATTGATAAGTACATCATGTACATATTTATACAATAATTTTTAAGTAAAACTGTAAAAGTTAACAAAAAGTTTTTATTTTTATTTGAAGAGAAAAACCAAAAAAAGAAGAAAAATTTGCATCTTTCTACCGAGGTCTATTCAAGTTTGTGGGACCTAAAACGTTTTGCTCGCTGGTAATCGGCGCAATTAAAACGCGTTGGTAAACTGCAACCCTCTTCGGCGGTTGAGATGCGCGCGCGCGGGTCGGAGCGACGCCGACCGGCGCCGTCGCCACGCCGCGCGCCGCTACTCTGCAGTAGAAGGGAGGCGCTCGGGGGATGCAGGCTTCTCCGCACCCTGCGGCTCGATCAATGTGCGTTTCATCATCTGAATAAAATCCCCGGCATCACAAAACAGCTACGTTCGCAACAACCGTAATCCGTAATTTGCATCCAACGCAACACAACTACTCCTAAACTATTATTCGCAAAACACAAAACATTTGCAAAAACTAAGTATTGTTCAGTGTTCACATCACTAAACGTGGCTGGATTGTTCTTCGACCATCTTTCGGGTTAACATCATATTAATCTGCTCGTCTAGTACGAGGTGAGTGATTTTATTTTCTTGTTGAGGAATTTTTTGTTTTATCTCTAATGATTAATCGATTCTCTTGGGCAGCAATGGAAGAAGTCCTACCGGAAGGCAAACATTTCAAATTGGTAAAAGAAGAAGAGCTTCCGGATTTACTCGATTTGCTGGGGAATTATTTACCGGATTCTATTAAGGTAATATAGATACCTACTTTTACCTGTTGACATTTTTTTTATCTCAATTTAAACATTTTAATTAATATCACGTTTAAATTATTTCCAAACGCGTTTTTATTTAATTTTAATTTTTTGTGTATTTATCTCTTAATTAATTAATTAATGAAATCAAAAATTAAAGCTAATTTTCTTTCTTCATGTGTCCGCGCATTATCCACGTGTATCAAGTGTCAGAATCCATGCGTGCTTCCTTCGCGAGTTTTTCCTGGGCAAAAATTGCCTGCCGGCCGGCTGTGCGAGGCGCAGAGGGGGCGGGAGGGCATCGATTTTCTTTTCGCACACACGCGACACGCGGCTGGCGGCGGCGGCGGCGGAGGTGGCGGCCGGCTCTCGATGCCGCAGAATTTTTCGACTATGCACGAAACATGCGAAGCACGCCGCGACACGTAAAAGTCACGTGCGGCAGCTCGTTATTGTGTATTAAGTCACGCCACTCCAACCACGGCTCAGGGGCGGCTGGATTCTTATTGGGATATGCAAATGCAAAAGGGAAATTTAAATTGAAATCACGTGACTAGCGCGGCAAACCAAAACTTACAACAAATACTAATAAATAGAAACATGTAGATACCTACTATACCGACATGTGTGGGTATTTCATGGATATGTTTATTGTCGGTTAGAATCACAATAAAAATCTATTTTTAAGTTTATGTCGTTTGAGAAGTATTTATTTCCCATGTAGAAATAGATAATAACTATTGATAATATTTACATGATTTTATTTTGATACAAATTGGAATTGTAATGAAACTTGTCGTGTTTTTCTACTTTTATTACCCACAATTATCATGGAGTAATTGTCCATTGATTATCTGATATTTAATCATCATTAAAACGATTTGTTAATTTGTTTACCGATGGCCAACCAAAGGAAATCATTTATTCATGTTGTGTTTTTTTCATTTTCGTGGAATTGTCCTATGCGTGACCTGCAATCATGTAATCGCGTCTAAACGACTCTATTTTTATCGAAATTGTTCTGTTTGTGTATTTGCAGTTTCATCAAACGGTGAAGACTTACATGACCGATCGCGTTTGGAATTTTCATTTCTACGTCGCAAAGAACTGGCCGGACGAAATGGTCGCGCTGCATTTTCCAGGCATGACAAGCACGGTATGTTTTACTAAAAAAAAATTTAAAACACACCACAAGCGTGGTTAATTTAAAAGGGAAATTAACGGGTAGATGTTCACGCGTTGATAAGTAAATAATATGTAGTTAAAATTGCGTTTAATGCGCATACCGCAATAACTTGCGGTGTAAATTTGGTTAGAATACCGCGGGGGAGGTAAGATGAAGATTAGGCAAACATGCTGTGCTTTAAAACATATTTGTTTTTACGCTTTTGGCAGAAATATACTCAGAGGTCTTAATATGCTTGGCAGGCGACCAAATATAGCACAAAAATCAAAGAAAAACTTGTAAACTTGGTTGAAAACTAAGACAAATAGAATATTGTGGCCAAAAACATCCGAAGTTATAAGAGTTGTTGGCTAACTACTGAAAAACTTGTGGAAACAAATTGAAAGATAACGCAAGGATAATTTGACAAGTAAATTATTACTCGTGGTAGGCAACTTTCAATACACCAATATTCTACATTCAGATATTTTATGTTCAAAGTCACATTTCTTGTATTTGGATTTGTTTCTCGGTGTCTCAACCTTGCTGTGTTTGATTCTATTAAGCTAATTGTCATTGATTCGCGTCTGGTCGTGCTGAAAACGCGCCCGAACGGAAATTACGGTCATAACTCCTTCGAGAAAGGCAAATTCAGTAAAAGTGCTTTGTTTCTCGCTCCTGTGAGGTTGCGTGCGCCGCGCGCGCCGCCAGCAACGTTAATTATTGTCGAGCCCTTTTGCCCGTGGCAAAATGTTTGCATAATTGGAACACCAACACGAGCATACACGAGCGATACAAGGATACAATGCGCACGTGCGACAAGGGTATTTCGCCAGGGGCGCGATGTTAAACAACGTACAAGGACTACGACAAATGGAAATTTCACGCGTGTCACTGTCAATGGCGAAATTTACGCGCAAAGACTAATTATAGATCAAGGACCTGCCCTTAATCACTTTTATTTTTGCAGAAAACAAAACAAAATTGATTTATTTCTTTGTTTAAAATAACTTACGACCCTGAAAACTCCTATGAAAGTATAAACGCTAAAACTGCCGCATAATTACTGATAATCGGCATGTTTCACAGAGTTTTCAAGTTCAAGTAGCGAAAAGTGCCATTCTATACACGCAAGAGAACGCATTCGGAAATCATATGTCGTGCAGAATGCCGAAGGAAAAAAAGGTTTCAAATTGCCGTGAGTGGCGTCCTGACCCACTTGGCCACCGGCCAAATCCCGCATGCCGCTTACTGGCCATTTGGACATTTCGTCCAATTGTGCTACAAATTCTTTTATTATAAAAAATTTGTTGTTATCAATATGTGCTTTTATTTTTTAAACTTGATTTTCACGTTTCAGCCGGAGGGAAATTTGTACGCTAGCTTCGCAGTGTTTTGTCCGAACGATCGACTCGACGATCTGCAACTTTTGTTCGACGAAGACACGCTGATTGACTGGGCGCGCCCAATTTCGCTAAACTTTACGCACGCTGACATCGTCGCTCGAATGGAGGAGTTCTACGAGGGGCGCGGCCAAGTCGAGAAGCTATACGGAGACATTTATTCTTTGATGGACAATGTTTTAGTTGAAGAAGATGAAATTGATACGTGAGTGTTATCCAATCACAATTAGGTCTACCAATTGAATTATTCTCATTATTTTACAGGACATTTCCAGAGGGTGCGGAGATGCAGCAGCTAACTCCCGAGTACGCCGTCGAAATTCACGACCTGTACCCGGCGAATCACATGGAGAGCGTGGAGGTATTCGGCCGGCTGATGGAGCGCCTGCCTTGCTACGGTGTGTTCTCGTCAGAGGGCGAGCTTGCCGCCTGGATGGTGCAATCCTATTACGGCGCCATGTTTTCGATGCAAACGAAACCCGAGTTTCGGCGTAAAGGTTACGGTATTCGACTGGCGAAATGCTTGACGAACGCCGTTACCAAACGCGGATATATTCCTTTCGTCGTCATCCGGCCGGAGAACGACGCCTCGCAGAGCCTGTACGCGAAGCTCGGTTTCAAGAAGTACTTCCAGACGGTGCGTGCGATCCTGCGGCCGCACGAGCTCGCCAGCGACGAACAGGGCGGCGGGGGGACGAACGGCACGCACGAACCCGAGCCGTAAGCTCCCCGCCCACCAACAAATGCACACACAACAGACAAAAGTGAACATAATTAACGATGTAGGAATCCGTTGAGGGTAGAAAACAGGCGA